TTTAAAATTTTGCAGAATATTACAGCAGTAGTTGTGGCCAGCTCAAAAGCATAATACATGCTACTTTGGCCACCAAAATTTATAAATATTCCAACAAAAACAAGGTTCCCTTACAAATCCATTTGTTATTAGTTATCATTTCTTGTGGTGCTTTCAATCACATAATGAAAAGGAATCTCTCTCTTTTTTACAGTTCCAGTGAAATCTTCAAATTATTGTGACGATTAAAAATCATGAAATCTACCGAGTTAGCATTTTCTGTTTGTCTTTTTCATTAGGATGTTTTTAGAGTAGTATTGTAAGCAAGTTACAAGTAATTCAACATGTCTGAACTTCAGTCATGCCCCCAATGAAATTTGCCAACCATCAATGTTTAGTTCAGTTTAAACATCCAACAATAAAAAAAAGCCAAAAAGGCAGACCTTTTCTCAGTGTATTCTTGGTTTGCAACCACATGACAAGGCAGCTCGTTTTCTGACATGACCATTAGTTAGCATAGTACTTGCCTTTGAGTTCAGCCAATTCCTTTGGTATTGTCCACGTTGACTCTTTTGTTTCAGTGTTGTGATAATATATTCTGCCAGTGTCAGCTTTGTGTTCTTTCCATGGACATGAGTCTAGTTGAATCTGATGATAATTGAGAGAATTTAATAAATAAAATGCTAAGGGTCTAGAATGTAGTTTTCTCGTTTTGTAGTTCCTTTTGTCTTGCAATACATGTATGATTGTTTTTATGAAACAAAACTGATCAGATTCTTGGTCTCAAATTTCAGGTAATGATTTCACAAATGCTAAGGAATTTTTCGTCATATGTCACTGCCCAGCCTTAAAAAAATAACTTCAAGGATCCGCCAGCAATTTTTTATTAATTTCATTTTTTTTGTGATGAGCTGTCCTTTTTTCTCCTGTTTTCTTCCTGAATGGTTAATTCTTGGATGTGACAACCACGACCACAGGTGGCCCAAACTCACTTTACGAGGGAAGGGTGTAATGTAATTTACATAACATAGGTGAAGCGCCGGTGTCGCATTACAGGCGACCGTTGAAAATATAAGAGACTTTGTATGAGAAATATATTACTGAGATCTACCAACGCTAAATAAGGCTAAACCTTACTTTTTCTTAAATGAAATGAATACAAAAGACTTACCTGCAATGTATTCCACTGCATTTTGGTATCCGTTTACATGACGGGTGCAAGCACTCGCTTTTTCACAGTGCAAGAGCCTAGTTGACGTGTCATTTCCGCCCTGGCACCCATCGTGTAAGTGTCAATAGTCATAATGCAAATTAGTTGGTAAGCACAACACTGGTCACAGGCACTGGACGAAAGCCAGACGTGTCTCGAAGTCCGGCACAAATGGCTCGATTTGATGGGGAAATTATGGATCTTTTTTGGAGCTGATCTTCCAGAGAGGAAGAAGAGGTTTCCCTCTTGGGCTGGAGCCGAAACGTTTGCAGTGGATTTCAATTTCGGCGAAACAAAGGGTATTCTTGTTGCGACTGGTCCAGAACCCCGACAGATCGAAGTGACCAGCCTTCACTTCGTTCTATGAAAGGAGTAACAGTAAAGCCAAAAACACCAGTAAAACGACAAACAGATACCAAAATGCAGTGGAATACATTGCAGGTAAGTCTTTTGTATTCATTTCATTTAAGAAAAAGTAAGGTTGAGCGTTATTTAGCGTTCACAGATCTCAGTAATATATTTCTCATACAAAGTCTCTTATATTTTCAACAGTCGCCTGTAATGCGACACCGGCGCGACACCAATGTTATGTAAATTACATTACACCCTTCCCTCGTAAAGTGAGTTTGGGCCACCTGTACCATGACATTACTGTAGCTTGTGCAAGTAAAGTACATTTTAAAGAATCTGCTCAAAAATGACTAGCTACATTTTTCCAGGAGTGACAGACTTTAGAAGACTGTACAAAATGCCCTGCTTGCAAGACATGACAAAAGCTAATTTTATGAAGTTAAATTTATTTAAAACAGTTAACAACGAGGAGCACTGGCATGGTCAGCAGTCAGTCATTTGGCTCAGGCGCAGTCACCCTTCCTTGCATCACCTCCATGTGCTCAGTACAACCTTTTTTCTGACTGCCACTCTCTTCGTATAGCCTTTGTATCATTCTCTTACCCCTATCCCTCCCCGCTTTATTTTTCCACTGATAAATCAGTGGGACAGGTGCCTGGTTCCATTGGCATGGGGACTCATGGCTGGAGGATGCAGGTTTACCAGCTATGGAGGTGTAACTCTGTCTAGGGGCTGGCTGTGCCAAAAGTGGAAGCCCCTAGACATCCCAGGAACTCACCTCCACTAAGTGACATTTGTTAACTATGTGTTTACTCGTACATGCACCGGTGTAAAAAGCAGGCTTTTTATCTATCAGAATGCATGTTGGTATACCATTTATTCTGTTGAAGATGATAGAGTGGTTTTCGTTTGAGTGTCGTAAAACCAAAACCAAAGTAATTACTCTGACCAATCACATAGGACACAGACAATACATTGAACCAATCAAAACTCGAAGTAATTACATGTGGCTGACGCAAAGCGCGGGAAAATGCATGCGAGCGCGTCACAATTGGCTTTGGTTTTACTTCTGATTGGATGAAAAGGTGGCGCGAATCTTTTAAGCCAATCGCATCGTGTAGAAAGTGCAAAACCAATT